ATAAATTATTTTTATTATATTTTACGGAACTTGTAGACATCCAGCTAACAGGCTGTGACAATGGCAACTTATCTGTTGTGCACTGCTTAAACCTGAGAACTTTACTGAGTTATGGAGAAAACTCTGAATAGACCACAGCCTCGAACAAGATAAATTGTCTTGTTGTTCAGAAGTTCGCTCCTTTCCCCAAGAATTTGGATCAGCTCTTTAAGCTTGCATCCCTAATATTTCTGTTTGTGCCTAATTCTGATATTTTTTCCCACACAAGTCCTATAGTATCAAAATTAAACCTTAGCTGTTTCTTTTGTGTCATTGATATGAATAAGCCGACCATGAGTTTTATCTTGATGTTGCTTTTACTTTATTTTCACTTTATTGCTTGGTGGACGGAATCTCTTGATTCCCTGTAACCTGGGGGCTCAGGGCTGTGAACTTCTTTCTGATAGTACTTCAGAATTTTTAGTTTAAGGCCAATTTCCTCATACATTGGCAGGACTTATTAACTTATCTGAGTAAAGTTCTGGATTTCAGGATGAAATACCTGGAGTTGGAAATGAATATTGGAAATTAGCATGACTTATTTTAACTTTTTCTTATGAAAAAGCTCCTTGGAGAAAAGGGGTTTGAGCATTTTTTTTTAATTGCATAATGATAAATATAGCAATAGAAGAGATCTGTACTAATAGAATTTTTACAAACCAAGAACCAAGCTATGCCTAGAAATATACAATATGGGGTAATTCGTCTTTCATATTGGTACAGTGGAAACACTGAATCAAGAAGAATCAGATTTTACTAATATACTACTTAAGGTCAGCTAATTAGAAGGGTGTTTTCTCAATAAAAGAGGTGCCTAATCTGATTTTTACCTTAATGTTATCTGAAAAACTCTGGTTTACCCATAGAAGGATTTATCTGTCTGGGATTAAAAGCACAACTCCTTCACCCGTTCATGGAATTGCTTGAGACAACTGTTTGGTTTTAGTGGGTAAGCAGAGAGATGTTGTTATAGTAAAACTTTGTGATTTGCTGCTTTCAGGTCTCAATTCATGAAGTACTTAAAGCGTGTTTAATTGAAGCACATTGCTGATTAGATCTGGCTGTCCAAACGAGAGGCTGAGCAATACACTCCATCGGCTATCTTCTGTTCACTGCCTTGCACCGTGATTGATCGCTTCTATCTTGTGAACACAAAGCACTGGCCCTAGTCCAGAAAATCATATCTGCTTACATGATGAAGTTCAAAAGCCTCTTAATCCCCTCCACTTCAACCCCCTAAGCTGTATGTGTGAGGCACAGTAATGTGCATCCTCCAGCACACATCCATGTGGCACAGTGTCCAACAAGGTCTTAGGGGATACTCAAGGAACTGAAGAGGGAATTCCACATAGCCTGTTGTGCAGCGATCCCCCTAGATGTATCAGAACTGGAAAGGCCAGAAAAGTTACAGTCTTTGCCCCACCTGCCCAACCCTTCATCCATTCTTCATGCATTCAAGACCCTACATCTTGACTCTTCTCATGGTCGCTCTCTCTGGCAAAGCTGTTAGTCCTCAACAGGCTGACAACTCAGGAGAATATTTAGGTGATCCTTGTATGGACTAAAAGGAGGAGGATCAGGATTTTTCTAACCTCTCTTCTGTATCTTAGGGCTACTGGGATGCCTCAGAGTTAAGAGGAGGAGGGGAGGTGGTGCCTGAGTGCTAGGGTGAGATGCCCATGGAGAAAGCACAAAAATACTTCTGACACTCCTGGTTAGAGCGCTCAGGATGGAGCAGCAAGATATTCTGTGACTGTGATGGTTTTCCTGACGTTCAGAGACCCAACAGAAAATGAAACTTAACCAATTGTAATGAGAAAAATACTCTAATATCTTATAGCCTGAGAACTAAGGCTAAATGTCCATAATTAGAAATCCTTTCATGCCTTTTTACAGTGTGTGGCATGGAGTGTCTTCTTGTGACTGTTCAGTGAAAGTGGAGGTGAATCTAGCAACAAATGTATTCGCAACATTGTTGCAAGTGAAAGTGATGGGAAATCTAGTAACAAAGTTGCAAATGTATTTGCAAGATATTGTTAGGAATGAACAGCAGG